ATGACTTCTCTTATACCTGTCACACTGTGTGTGATGATTTTCCTTATACCTGTCACACTGTGTGTGATGACTTTCCCTTATACCTGTCACACTGTGTGTGATGACTTTCCCTTATACCTGTCACACTGTGTGTGATGACCTTCTCTTATACCTGTCACACTGTGTGTGATGACCTTCTCTTATACCTGTCACACTGTGTGTGATGATTTTCCCTTATACCTGTCACACTGTGTGTGATGACTTTCCCTTATACCTGTCACACTGTGTGTGATGACCTTCTCTTATACCTGTCACACTGTGTGTGATGACCTTCTCTTATACCTGTCACACTGTGTGTGATGACCTTCTCTTATACCTGTCACACTGTGTGTGATGACTTTCTCTTATATCTGTCACACTGTGTGTGATGACTTTCCCTTATACCTGTCACACTGTGTGTGATGACTTTCCCTTATACCTGTCACAGTGTGTGATGACCTTCGCTTATACCTGTCACACTGTGTGTGATGACTTTCTCTTATACCTGTCACACTGTGTGTGATGACTTTCCTTACCTGTCACACTGCCTGTAAATGTTACTCTGACCCAGTTTCCATGTATACATTCAATAAATATTATGGCTGATGGTTGGAATTCAAGTCCAGTTTCTTCGTGCACCTCACGTTTAACTCCCTCCTATAAACAGATTAGATCAACCCCAGTCAGTTGAGGGGATTAAAAAATTTGTGCACATAAGAAATTCTGTGGTACATGTCAGAAATTGAGGTGAATGTAAGGAATTATATAGTACATAATAGGAAAAACTCTGTTGTAAAGTACAGCAGAAATTCTGTGTAAAGAAAATTAGTGTACAAGTTAGATTCTAGCTATACTTGAATTATTGAAGCTAAACACAGGTGTTATACCTGACATTTGAGATAATGAGATTGAAGTTATTGAACTGCACTATCAAAATTCAATGAGGTAGTATGTGGTTCAATGAAATGTCATACATACTTCTAGCGTTTCATTTCTTTCCATTCGTCCAGCTGGGAGATACCATGTCCCTCTACACGATACCTTGGCTTCTTGCATCATCAATACCTCCCCCTTTTCATTAATCAACACAGCAGCCACAATGTAATGTACATTGTATTTCAAAACTGCTACCTCATCATCACGTAATTGATCTCTCTTGTGGATCACATCACATTGTGGATGCGATACATTGGGAGCTTCACCACGCAGATATTTTCTGATCATGTTTTCAATTCCATCATCGTCCTCCATCCTCCTTCTGTTTGTGTACTTCTCCGTTTAGCTGGGTCTGTGACTGTAAACCCTATAAGAGTGTTACATTTTACTGTGATTTATTTTCATTGTTTTAATATTTCAGCCGTTCTGCAAAAGTTGCAAGGATCGGTCCGATTGGTTTAAAAATTTGACAACTGAAAATAGTTCACCAAGTGTTCATGAGCTATTGATAAACTAATCTTCCAAGTCCTTGAACTTGTGTGACCTTGGTACCCACCAATCAGTCTTTTTACAGTATTGTATTTTTATAGTTTTGTATTTTGCAAGTTTTAATTTATTCAGTTTTCTGTTCCTACTTGTTTGTAATAATAATGTGTTTTTTTCTCTCTACTTATGTTGTGGTGTGCATTTACAATAATAATAATAATAATAATAATAATAATAATAATAATAATAATAATAATAATAATAATAATTTATTGCAGTCTTAGAAATAGTTTCCAATAGTTGAGAGCAATAAAAATGTTAGTGAAAAATACAATGAATATAAAACAATGTATGATGAATCATTGTAAAAGAGAGGCACCAACGAAAACTCTTTGAATATTAACATTTTTCAATAAGCCACTAACTAACTAAGCCACTGGAAGATTTATATGACAATTTGGTCCCAAATTAATAAAACAAGAGGCAATCAATAAGAAAACATAGCACAGCCAAAGATGAAACAGTACTTAAGGAACTAAGCATATAAGATAAGATAAGATAAGATAATTCTTTATTACAACCTTATAGAATGAATTACATATCTATTTTGGTTTATGAAATGCAATAAAGATGTTAAAATAAACATAACAAGTTAGATATCTAAAATCTACTACAATACAGTTACATGAAATAATGTTAAAAAAAAAATAAAAAAAAAAAAAAAAAAAAAAAATATTAATGACCCATTAGGTGGTTTTCTCTAATGGTATTTGCTGTTTTTATAAATTTGATAAGCTCTGTTAGTAAATATTTGTTGTTTGTATTCAATATATGAATGAATTTTTCTTTGTTTGTACAGTGTTTAAAATTGTTAATTTTCTTTGAAAAATGTGAATATAACAACTCTCTTTCATCTGTGTAAAGTTCACATTTTGTGATGTAATGAATTTCATCCTCAAGTAGGTTGCATTTAGTACATTTTCTGTCTTCTGTTTTTATTTTTGGTCTTTTGTGCCTTCCCATCTCGATGTTTAGTTTATGGGCACTTAGTCTCAATTTTGCTAATAGACCAATGTTTTCTTTATTATCAAGGATTTTAATGTATGGTTCAGTATTTATATTTTTCTTCAGTAATGTATAAGTTCTTAGTTTAATAATCGTCTACAGAACATTAAATGGTGTTTTTCTGTACATGTTTTGTCCCAGTACTCTGGTCTGTATTGATTCCCCAAATTTCTGCAGCATAAGTTAAAATTGGTGTCTGGATGCCCTCAAATAATTTCAATTGTAAAAGCATGTTTAACTTGTTTGATGTTAAT